GTGTACATTTTACTGCTTAATCAAGGCTTGTACGATTTAATTGAAAGGCAAGATTTAGGGTGCTGTTATTATCTTCTGATTTAGCCAATCGAAGACGGGCATGCAGTTTGGCTCCTCGATGCTCTCTGCAGGTGAGGCTCAGGCCGCTGGGTCTCCGCTCACCTACACACAGCTGCAACCCGCCTCACAACAACACGTATCGCCCAAGGACAGTGGCACTGTGGGTGGGGACTATGGAGCGGATGGCAGAGCTTCACGATACCTCGCGGATTCTGGATCTTCAAAGCGGTGAGCTTGGAGTCAATCTGTAATTCATAAGCCTACTCTTAGCATAAGGAACAACTTCCAACATTAGTTCTGGCACCTAGTCTTAATTAGGGCTATCATCGAAGTAGAATGGTATCATTGCGATCTTAGGGTTACTCCTCTTCCTCATCCTCCTCCTTCCTTGCTCCATCAGATGCACCAACAATCGATCCTCCAGTTCACTAAGTGGCACCGGTGACAAACATTCGCCTTCTCGTAAACTTATGCGCATTGGATCGGCTGGAAGTGGAGGCTCACCACTCTCTGCAGCGACATCATCTCTCGATCAGTGCTGTTCACCTGGCTCGCCCCACACCACTGGTGCCGCCAGTTCGCCCTCCAAGGCAACACAATCCACGTCCGCCTCGGTCTCATCTCCAGGGCTGACCATTAACGCCGCAACACTAGCCCAGTATCGTCGTGAAATCACCACAGAGAATAGCGGAACTGGAGTGCCCACAAAGCGGGTACACATCAAGAAACCATTGAACGCTTTCATGCTCTTCATGAAGGAGATGAGACCCAAAATTCAAGAGGAGTGCACACTAAAGGAGTCTGCAGCAATTAATCAGATTTTGGGCAAAAAGTGGCATGAATTGTCAAAACCGGAGCAATCAAAGTACTATGAACTGGCACGAAAGGAGAAGGAAATTCACCGCCAGGTAAGCTGACTCCTTCTAGTTGATCTAATTTTACTATTATTATTTGTCTGAAAGGAACAACGGCACGCATTTAAGTGGCGAAAAATCCCTAAACCGCTTGAGCAAAATGCTCCTTTAATGGGGACATTTGCGGGAGCTTAAAAATTTGACAGGAGTAATGATGATTGAAGTAATGATATTAAGAGACAGTTAACTTACTGTTCAAATTAATGCTCAAGTTATGGTTTCTCTGTCATGTGACAACTAACTTGTCTTTTTAAGTTGGTAATGGTGAGAGCTTGAAAAGTCAATCAGTGAGGAGGTAGAAATAAGTGGGGCAAGGAAAAAAGCACTTGTTGGGGCGAAAGAGTTTACAAAACGGGAAGGGGAATTGCATTGCTTACGTTCAGAAGGCGTGAATTCCTTCCAGCATGCCTTTGAAGTCATTCCTCATCAGCGCAAGTACAATGTTGAAGCTTTTACTTGCTGCGTAAGTGTGACAAGTTGACAGTACTTTAAGAAAGGAATGTTAATGGCGTCGGAGTGTTAGGGCTTACAATAAAAATTGTAACACAAAATTTGCATAATATTGCAGCTCTTTCCTGGTTGGTCCGCCCGTGATAACTATGCAATTCACTCAAAACGCAAACGCAAACGAAAACTCGCTGCCGCTGTGGCCGCTGCGTCAGCGATGAATGCAGGAGCGGGTGGAGAGGGCGGTGTGGGCCGGCGAGACCTATACGACGGTGATGGGTACTTTGGTGGTGGCAGTGGCGGTGGTAGCGGTTGTGGTGGTGGGTGTAGCGGTAGCACCGCTCTCAATGCCTCCACCTCCGCTGCTGCTCTTGCCGCTGCTGCAGCTGCAGCTGCGGCTGGCGTTGACCTGGGGAACCCTAAAAAGTGTCGAGCCCGATTTGGTCTCGAGCAACAGACCCGGTGGTGTAAGCCATGTCGGCGAAAGAAGAAATGCGTCCGATTTCTTACCGACGCTGAGTATGAAGAAGCTCTAAAGGCCGGCAAATTGCAATCAGAGCCATCTTCACCGCAACAGGTGGGGGGAAAATCGACTACTACAACCAGTACCGTAACCGGAGGAGCGAAAGATCAGTGGTCGGAGGCAACTTTAGCCAAGTCTGCAGCCCATCTACCTACTCCAAAGAGTCCGAGTTCAACCTTCCTCTCTCCCTCCGCCTCCAGCACTGGAGGTAGCGGATTCAGCCACACTGCACCAGCAACTTCACTCACTCATCCTCCTGCCGCCTCCTCTGAATTCGTGGGTAGCAACTCTGAGGAGTATCCCGTAGCAGTTAGCACTTCCAGTGGTTTCGGCTACGGCCATTTCTCCCCTTACTCGGAGTTCCAACGTCCAGCATTGGCACATTCGACACTAAGCTTTTTGGAGCACCATCGACCATCTCCTTCTTTCGGATCAGTCCAGCTGTCACAAACAACCACTGCTGGTAACAACACAGAAGTGGAGGAGGAAGACGATATGAAGAATGAGACATTGTGTGTCTTTGCTACAGAGGCATCTCCTGCAGGTAGTTGTCACCACGATAATGGCACAGGCACTGGAGAGGAGGATGAAGAGGACGAAGAGGGGGATAATTTCCCTCACATAAAACAGGAACCGAGTCCCCTAAATGGTATGTTCCCAGTGGTCACTGCTGCAGCAGTGGCTGCAGCAGCAAAGGTGGTTGAGGGACAATCGACTGTCAACATGGCTACTACCACCGCTCCTACAACACTCTCCACTTCCGTGCCCACTGCCGAAAAGAGGCCCATCATCTTCTCTGCAGCTGCACTGAGCCGGTGTGAAGATCCCATCTCCTCCAATACAGCCGTAGAGACTGGTACAACAGCCTCGTAGAAGCACCAAGACTCCACACCATCCCCGCATTTCATCATTCTCATTTTCAATACCGTCAACATCCCCGCCATCACCATCATCATAATCATGCAATATTTTTTTCTCTCCTGCTCTCGATGCTCACTCATCTTTAAAATTGTGTTGAGACGTACACAGACAGGGTGATCCTCCTACTTTCTATCCCCTTCCTTAACTAAAATTTTCTCCCTCTTCCCCAACATCTCCACATGTAGTTGCTACGCAGCCAGGAGACAGTAATACCAACCGAACACACAGGGTGGGATTTGTTAGACACATGTTCGGTGACATGTGCGTGTGCGTGTACGTGTGTATGTGTGAATGTTCCCTGAATTTGAAATTTGTTTTACTAACATGGTGAATATGAACATCACACCGTTGCTCCCAACACTACAACTCCTCCTCTTTCTCTTCCTCCTCTTCTTTCTCCTTCTTCTACTACTACAACTACTACTATTACTGCTATTATTACCGCATTATAGATACCCAGTTGGCCGTCATTAATTGTCCCCTTTTCTTCACTTCACCCACACAAGCAGATTTTGTGATCAAGAAACAAAAGTTACACACAATGTTTTGCTCTTTATCTCTCGCTTTGTCTCTCAACAAATCCTTGTGTTGCAATGCATCACAACAGCATCAGCAACACTGAACAACTGACTAATGAATTGTAAATAGCGCCAATATTTTTACTTCCTTCTTTCACCTTCTCCTTCCCTTCTATCCGTCGCTCTTGCTCTCTCACTCCTCCACTTGCTCGTGATTTGTTTCACGTGCATACCCATCCCGACTGTGCGATTGATAGACTGGGTGCCCTTTCCTTTTCCCTTCCCCTCCTTCCCCTTCTTTCCCTCCTCCTCCTCCTCCCTTGCCACTCCAATCAATATACAGGGTAATGCTGCTGAAGGTATACACGAAAACGCATATAAACAAATATAAATATATATATATATAAAT